TTGGTCCCAAGGAACACTGTGTGTGGCGCTTTGGAGCAGGCACAAAAGAAAGCATGGGTGAAACACCCAAGGGCAAATGCGGAGCTGCAGGCTGCTCACTCAGAGGGTGAAAACAGACCCCGTTTGGCTGGGAGAAGATGTGTGGGAGGCCAGTGTGTCATGACTTTTTGGTCCACGGGCACACACGGTGCTAAAGAGTAGGCTGCGGAAGCTTCCGTGGAATTGCAAAGAAGATGGCACGCCGCTGGCAAGTCCGCAGCACAGAGGCTTCGTTCTTAGTTCTGTTCTTGAACGCAAGCTTGTCAGGGGAGAGCGCGAACGCAGTCCCCCACTACCAGAAATTATGCAGTCGAGATTCCCGCATTTGGGGAATTCGCAAGGGTCAGCACAACCGAAGTGCAATGGCCGAGCCTCGCCCTGGGTGAACCACCTTCGTGATCATGGTGTCGCCCCTGCCAGGTAAGTATGAGTTGCACAGCACATCTCGGCGGGACCCTTGTGACCGAGCCAGATGCAGCATGAGGGTGAAGGGCGGAGCAAGGGACAGGGGACGGGCTTAAGGGCGTCTCAGACCCGCCTTACGCGCTGAGCCAGGAGGCGCTGTTGGTGCCTCTGCATGGACTGTCCTCTACTGCCTGCTTGCCTGTGCCTCTGCATGGACTGTCCTCTACTGCCTGCCTGCCTGTGCCTCTGCATGGACTGTCCTCTCCTGCCTGCTTGCCTGTGCCTCTGCATGGACTGTCCTCTACTGCCTGCCTGCCTGTGCCTCTGCATGGACTGTCCTCTACTGCCTGCCTGCCTGCCTGCCTGCCAGCCTGCCAGCCAGCCAGCCAGCCAGAGTAACACACTTTGGAACAAACATAAAACAAAGCATGCGCCAAACACCCAAGAACGACTGCAGAGCTGCAGGCCGAGGTCCTTCCTAGACCTCAGAGGGCGAGAACAGACCCCGGCAGCTGTGGCGTTTGGCTGGGAGAAGATGCACGGCAGGCTTTCGCGGGTGCGTGCGCCGATCGTGCGAAGTCGTCGCACGCGGCGGCTGCCGTGACGTGCTGCGCTTGTGTGAGATGACATAAAATATGGAGCGCTTCACGGATTTGCGTGTCATCCTTTCGCAGGGGCCATGCTAATCTTCTCTGTATCGATCCAATTTTAGTATATGTGCTGCCGTAGCTAGCACGCTACGCCTAGCGTGCCGCGCTCACTTATACCTGCCGTGTCCGCACAAGGTTTCTGAGAGAGGGCAGGTTTCGGAGTCGCGTCGGCTTCCGAGCGGCTTATTTCAGGGCCACAAAATTGCCAGCGCCCCCTGGCGTGCCCTTTGGTCCCAAGGAACACTGTGTGTGGCGCTTTGGAGCAGGCACAAAAGAAAGCATGGGTGAAACACCCAAGGGCAAATGCGGAGCTGCAGGCTGCTCACTCAGAGGGTGAAAACAGACCCCGTTTGGCTGGGAGAAGATGTGTGGGAGGCCAGTGTGTCATGACTTTTTGGTCCACGGGCACACACGGTGCTAAAGAGTAGGCTGCGGAAGCTTCCGTGGAATTGCAAAGAAGATGGCACGCCGCTGGCAAGTCCGCAGCACAGAGGCTTCGTTCTTAGTTCTGTTCTTGAACGCAAGCTTGTCAGGGGAGAGCGCGAACGCAGTCCCCCACTACCAGAAATTATGCAGTCGAGATTCCCGCATTTGGGGAATTCGCAAGGGTCAGCACAACCGAAGTGCAATGGCCGAGCCTCGCCCTGGGTGAACCACCTTCGTGATCATGGTGTCGCCCCTGCCAGGTAAGTATGAGTTGCACAGCACATCTCGGCGGGACCCTTGTGACCGAGCCAGATGCAGCATGAGGGTGAAGGGCGGAGCAAGGGACAGGGGACGGGCTTAAGGGCGTCTCAGACCCGCCTTACGCGCTGAGCCAGGAGGCGCTGTTGGTGCCTCTGCATGGACTGTCCTCTACTGCCTGCTTGCCTGTGCCTCTGCATGGACTGTCCTCTACTGCCTGCCTGCCTGTGCCTCTGCATGGACTGTCCTCTCCTGCCTGCTTGCCTGTGCCTCTGCATGGACTGTCCTCTACTGCCTGCCTGCCTGTGCCTCTGCATGGACTGTCCTCTACTGCCTGCCTGCCTGCCTGCCTGCCTGCCTGCCAGCCTGCCAGCCAGCCAGCCAGCCAGAGTAACACACTTTGGAACAAACATAAAACAAAGCATGCGCCAAACACCCAAGAACGACTGCAGAGCTGCAGGCCGAGGTCCTTCCTAGACCTCAGAGGGCGAGAACAGACCCCGGCAGCTGTGGCGTTTGGCTGGGAGAAGATGCACGGCAGGCTTTCGCGGGTGCGTGCGCCGATCGTGCGAAGTCGTCGCACGCGGCGGCTGCCGTGACGTGCTGCGCTTGTGTGAGATGACATAAAATATGGAGCGCTTCACGGATTTGCGTGTCATCCTTTCGCAGGGGCCATGCTAATCTTCTCTGTATCGATCCAATTTTAGTATATGTGCTGCCGTAGCTAGCACGCTACGCCTAGCGTGCCGCGCTCACTTATACCTGCCGTGTCCGCACAAGGTTTCTGAGAGAGGGCAGGTTTCGGAGTCGCGTCGGCTTCCGAGCGGCTTATTTCAGGGCCACAAAATTGCCAGCGCCCCCTGGCGTGCCCTTTGGTCCCAAGGAACACTGTGTGTGGCGCTTTGGAGCAGGCACAAAAGAAAGCATGGGTGAAACACCCAAGGGCAAATGCGGAGCTGCAGGCTGCTCACTCAGAGGGTGAAAACAGACCCCGTTTGGCTGGGAGAAGATGTGTGGGAGGCCAGTGTGTCATGACTTTTTGGTCCACGGGCACACACGGTGCTAAAGAGTAGGCTGCGGAAGCTTCCGTGGAATTGCAAAGAAGATGGCACGCCGCTGGCAAGTCCGCAGCACAGAGGCTTCGTTCTTAGTTCTGTTCTTGAACGCAAGCTTGTCAGGGGAGAGCGCGAACGCAGTCCCCCACTACCAGAAATTATGCAGTCGAGATTCCCGCATTTGGGGAATTCGCAAGGGTCAGCACAACCGAAGTGCAATGGCCGAGCCTCGCCCTGGGTGAACCACCTTCGTGATCATGGTGTCGCCCCTGCCAGGTAAGTATGAGTTGCACAGCACATCTCGGCGGGACCCTTGTGACCGAGCCAGATGCAGCATGAGGGTGAAGGGCGGAGCAAGGGACAGGGGACGGGCTTAAGGGCGTCTCAGACCCGCCTTACGCGCTGAGCCAGGAGGCGCTGTTGGTGCCTCTGCATGGACTGTCCTCTACTGCCTGCTTGCCTGTGCCTCTGCATGGACTGTCCTCTACTGCCTGCCTGCCTGTGCCTCTGCATGGACTGTCCTCTCCTGCCTGCTTGCCTGTGCCTCTGCATGGACTGTCCTCTACTGCCTGCCTGCCTGTGCCTCTGCATGGACTGTCCTCTACTGCCTGCCTGCCTGCCTGCCTGCCAGCCTGCCAGCCAGCCAGCCAGCCAGAGTAACACACTTTGGAACAAACATAAAACAAAGCATGCGCCAAACACCCAAGAACGACTGCAGAGCTGCAGGCCGAGGTCCTTCCTAGACCTCAGAGGGCGAGAACAGACCCCGGCAGCTGTGGCGTTTGGCTGGGAGAAGATGCACGGCAGGCTTTCGCGGGTGCGTGCGCCGATCGTGCGAAGTCGTCGCACGCGGCGGCTGCCGTGACGTGCTGCGCTTGTGTGAGATGACATAAAATATGGAGCGCTTCACGGATTTGCGTGTCATCCTTTCGCCTCTGGGCGAACGATCTTCGTGCTAAAGAAAACCAGACGTTTCACTAAGTCCCTCCCTTCTCTACTTCTGATTGGCCGCCGGACGAATTGTTTCAGCGGTTTGTTTCACGGCGGAGCCGAATTATTGGTCGTCGAACTGGAACAGAATCCAAGCGATTGGCCAGAGCCAGTGCGCCAGGTCACATGGCCTGCTGACGAAATGTTTCAAGGGTTTGTTTCTAAATGGGCTCGCCTGATTGGTCGAGATTTCACGTGAGCTCGCAGTTTAAGCGCAAGGGAGCGGGAGCATCATTTCAGTCTCAGCACTTTAGCGAGCAACAGCGTTTTCAGAGCGATTTACAGGTAAGTCCGTTACTTTACTGTTTTAACCACTTTTTTAAACTTAGTGTTTGGACTGCAGGTGTGTGATGTACGTACATTACGGAGATGTTATAATTGTATTTTCGCACGAATTACGCGGCGTCACCTTGCTAGCTACACATCGTATTTCCAAATTTTTTTTATGTTTAAAATTAAAATGTTTTTGTCTCCGTAGAATTCATAGTTGTCATGTTTATTTCGATTAGCTTGCTTATTCTTTGCAATTTTTTGGGTATGTTTTACCACTTTCATGCGTTTTTTTTCTTCGCGGTTTTACAATTTTCTCGCTTTTTATGTGTATTAAGTTAGCTTGCTAAATCGCCTAAATGATTATAATTGCTATCAGACGTCATTTTTGTACGTAGAATATTAAATATGTCAATTACTAGCACCGATATGACAATATTTTATCGTGCGAGTGGTAAATCACATTACAAAAGACGTTTCTGAGCATATTTTTCAATTAAACAGCAAGTGGTCAGTATTTGAACTCATATGCTCGTAAATACCCATCTATTTGGCTGGAAGGAAGACAGTTACAGCTCTCATATGACACCCACCTTTTGAATGAAGCTTATGAAATATTAAAGTTCCGCGTTTCGGAACCACCGGTGGTTCCACTGAGTTAATAAGATTAAAGGAGCCTGACCAACTGTATGTTCCTCCAGAAAGAGAACAGAAATAGTTTTTGTTTCAGTGGATTTATTGCAGAGTGTTTGAAATGTTAATAAATATAATAAACATCAGAAAAACTACCTGTAAAGAACAATGGTTACACTGTTGCGATGGATATGTACCGTGAAAATGTCTTAAACTATTGTGATGCTGTATTTTTGCCATTTTGCTCACCCCTTACAGAGGTTTATTTTGATTTTATTTGTCAGTGTTTTCTACAATGGATGCAAGGCCAGCATTTCGTTGCGAGGAGAACGGAGAGCTCACTCTTCGAGCCTCACCAGCAGCACTTGCTGTGGAGAGGGAGCACTTGACCCGCATAGGGTCAGGCACTCCTTTCAAGGTCCAGGATCCCATGGCAGTTTGGACAGAGGCCAAACAAAGAGTGGTGGCCGCAGGAGGAGACCCTTGGGACAACCAGCTGGTAGCGAGTGAGAGCGTTATCCAGTTTGGCCAGTACCGAGGGAAAACCTTTAAGTGGCTTCTGGAGAATGACCTGGGCTATGCTGTCATGGTCTTGGCAGGGCACCAGAAGGAGCGGGAGTCTGGCGACCTGAGCGACACTGCCCTTATGAGCAATAAGGACGTGCTCCTCAAGTATGCCGGATCCTTTCCCGAGGTTGCCGAGGCCATTAGGCAGCGGAGGCAGCGGAGCACCCAGGCGGATGACAGTCTGGTGGGCTTTGGTGCACACAAGATGTGTACCTTCAGGCAGCTTTATGAGTCTGCAGACAGGGAGAAAAAGAGGTAAAGATATATTAAAATTCTGCATGTTATATTTTATTGTAGTTGTAGTATAATATATTTGCTCATTATTCTGTCTTTTTAACAGTTACGTCCAGTGGCTGAGAGGTCAGACGACCAGGCCAGGAACTAAAATGGACGCACTGAGGAAGTACATCCAGAAGAGGGATGTGGAGCAGGCTCTGCATGGCTCTGCACCCTCATCGTCTTCCATTTCGGCTCCTGGCTCTCTTCACCACCCTGGATCGTCCCGAGAGCAGGCTCCTAAAGCTCTTGGTAAGTGTTAAAATCATGTAAAATAGAGAAGTTCATCATTCAGCACAGCACATATTGTGCAAAAAATCATGTGAAGTCATTATGTACTGCAAATTTTCCCATTGTTAATGTTTAATATTCTGTATTTGTCAGAGCCCACTGATGATGAGCTGATGGCATGTGCCATGGAGGTGGACATACCAGGTATGTGTTTTCTGAGTTCTCCAGAATGAACAATGTGTTACATGTAAAACATGTAATGAACGTATCGTAACTTTTTGCTTTACGTCAATGTATTTACTAGCCCTTTAAAAATGATGCAGAAGAAGTTAAGGTAAGTGTTATAAGTGGCCCGTCGAATAGTAGCCCCGCTCGTAGCACTTGTGGCTTAGTTGGTTCTGGTGTGCATGTCCACTCCTTTTATCCCTTTGCTTTGGTAGAACAGCTGCTTAGAATGCTCAACATCCTTTGTCCCCATGCTTGTGTCACTGTGCTTTGGCTGGGATGTACATAAAACTTCTAAACATGTATTCTTTCATTTATTCACCCTTTCTATTTATTTTCACTTTAATGCACATTATTGCCATCAGTTAATTAACAAAGAAGTAGATGTAGCACAATTCTCACTGGTGTAATAACAACTTTATTCTACGAATAGATTAATTTCCTTGAAATTTTTTTCTTGAAAATGTGACAAGTAATTGACTTGTTTTGTGATGTTCACAGCTCCTCCACCAGCTCCGGGCACACCGCCTGCTCCGCCGACCCCATCTCGTTCTCCGAGAAAGGCTGCGCAGAAGAGACATGTGCCCCATGCTGCTCCTGAGGTGAGGTTATAATTCCTGTACATTTTTTAATTGCTGCACAAGAACAATAAAACACACACACACACACACAAAACATCCACTGACAGGCTATTTGTCTGTAGGGTCCTGTGCTTCCACAGAGCTGGAAGCACCATCTCCCTAAAGAGCAGCATGAGTGGATCAGCCGTGCCATGTTCAAGAGGGACAAGGCAGGGAAGGCTGTTCTTGTGGACAGCCTGCAGATGTGGTGGCATCCTCCCCCACCACGCCCTGTTCAACATCAGCCGCCGTCTTCCCCTGACGCCTTCTTCACCCGCCCCTTCTGCCTGTGGATGCCCTACCGCATGTGGGCATTCAGGCTGCTGTGCAAGCAGCCCAACTGCCATCGGGCCGGCCAGCGCCTGACGTCTTGTGGCCTGTACAAGACGGTCAGAAGGGTGCTTGACATCGATGGCTGGTACTACATGGCCACCGAGTACCTGGAGTGCCGTCGCTGTCGGAAGAAGGTCGCAGGATGGTCACAGGACATCCTGGAGCAGCTGGACCCTGCGCATCGAGCCATGTTTCCAGCCATCCTCACATACAGGTAAACGTACATCTATGACACAAAACACAAGGGCAACTTTTATGACATGAAGATGTGAATGAAAGAATGAATGAATAGCACACCATAGATCTATTAGGGTTACTTTTTGGGGTCATCTGTCAGGTCAAGAGAGGATTAGCGGTCACTCTTAAAGTGTCTGGCACAACCTGTTTGATGCAAAGGTCGTTTTTGAAGTGTCTGACACCACCTGTCCTGGCCACTTTTTTCACACCTTTTGATGTCCCCCTTCTGGAATGTCGTCTCGTCTCGTTAGGGCTTCTATTGTTCTCTGTACCCCTACACCAACCCCCACCTCAACCCCCACCCCAACCCGCACCTCAACCCCCACCCCAACCCCCACCTCAACCCCCACCCCAACCCCCACTTCAACCCCCACCCCAACCCCCACCTCAACCCCCACCCCAACCCCCACTTCAACCCCCACCCAACCCCCACCTCAACCCCCACCCCAACCCCCACTCAACCCCCACCTCAACCCCCACCCCAACCCCCACCCCAACCCCCACTTCAACCCCCACTTCAACCCCCACACCAACCCCCACCCCTCTGCAGAGACCTTTTACAGCCAGTTCCCAACTCTGATCTGTGAATGTGCGTGCTTACAGGCTGTCCTGTGACATGAAAGTCGTGCGGCTGATGAGAGAGAGGTCCCTTGGCAATAGTGTCTCCGCGCTGTGCCACAAACTGAGGGAGCAGCACAGTGAGGCCTGGATGACGAGCACACTGCAGTACCTTGCAGTGTGTAAGAGATTCCAGGTCCCTGGTGTCGAGGCACAGCCTGTGGCATCACCACCACCCATGATGCCTGTTCCCTCACCCCACTGGCTCCTCACCGTCCATGCCGAGGACATACGGACGCGGATCGGTGAGATGAAGGCCAGGGTCACCTCCATTTTCGGATCCATCCTGAAGATGGATTCAACCAAGAAGGTAATGTTTTTTGTGTTTGATGCTCCGGTGCATGTTATGATTCACTAATTTTGTGTATTGAATTTGCACACTGTATATATATTAACTGTGCGTGTGTTTGTCTGTCGTGTGTCTGTCATGTGTTCAGGTGACCAAGAAGCTGGCTGGAGCTGCAGCCAGGACAGCAGCCTGGGCGACCAATGTGGGCAACGAGCACGGACAGGTGCTCATGTCCGTGCTCACAGCTCATGAGGGAGATGGGCTGCTGCCCATGGCAGCAGGGCTGATGAGGCGCTACAGTGAAGCTGGAGTCCCCCCGCCGAAGCTCCTGTACGTGGACAGGGACTGCTGTTCCGGAACAGGGAGGTCCAGAGCAGCGGCCATGTTCCACGAGTGGGAGGAGCTGGTTGTCAGGCTGGACGTGTGGCACCTGATGCGAAGGTTCGCGGTGGGTGTCACCACTGACAGCCACCAGCTCTACGGCCTCTTTATGGCGAAGCTCTCTGCGTGCATCTTCGAGTGGGATGCAGCAGATGTGGCTCGTCTGCGGGAGGCCGTGCAGGCGGAGATGGAGGAGAAGCAGGGCATCGTGGGCCTCAGCGAAGAGCAGCTCAACAGCAAGCTGACGACAAAGCTGCTTGCTCGGCACTGTCGGCGCCGCACGCGCGGTGCAGAGGAGACCGAGGAGCTTGTCCATCAGCTGCTGGAGGCTTTCCGCGACGTGACGGACACGATGGGCGTCCCCTTGCTGGACAACGAAAGGATGGATGTCATCTGGAACAACCAGCGGCAACACCTTCGTTGCATCCAGGATCCTCCGGGACTCCAACTTTATGCTAAGACGGGCCAGCTGACCAAAGGCGGGGTTGTCCTGCCTGTGTACCGTTGCGCACGGGGCTCCACCTCCCTTGAGTCGTTCCACCTACACCTCAATCACTTCATACCTGGTAAGTGTATAGATTTGTATTGTGTGTGTGTGTGTGTGTTTCTGTCTTGTGTTTGTTGTGGACCGTCTACAACATGTTTTCTCTGCTTCACAGGCACTTCTGCAAATGCAGAAAACTTTCAGGCATACCTCCTGGAAGGCTTGGTGAGGTGGAATGAGGACCGTGCAGCAGCGGTAGACCAGGCAGAGCAGGTGCTGCGGTGCTACAGTGGCCACCTGCAGCACAACCTCAACCAGCTCAGCCAACAGCTGCTCAACCGTAAGCTGGTTGAGGACTACACAAAACCTGGAGAGTACACAGGTGAATATTCACCGACTGAATCTGTATAGCACTGTTCACCAACCAGTATTGCAAACCTGTTATTATTATTGATGAGTTTGTTAAGTTAAATTGTAATTATTGATGTGTTTCAGGAGAGCTGATCGGTGTCGAGTACCTCTACTCCCAGCAGTGCAAGGAGTTGAGAGAGGACATTGGTCGTGATCCGGATACTCCAGATGGCACCCCAGATGACGAGTCGGACTGGGAGGATGAAGGGTTTGCTGAGGCTGTTCATTTGGGTACGGAGGAAAGTGACCCCACCATCGTCCCGCTTTCGGTTGATCCCCACCGCAGCCTGCTGTCCATCCGTGCTGCGGCGGAGGCAGGGGCACCTCCTCTGTCTGAAGACGCCCCATCTGACCCACTCCTTCCCTCCACAGCGACAGCGACGTCAGGCGGGGACGATGATGATGGTGGTGGTGGTGATGTCAACGTAAGAACTGTTAAGATTTAAATAAAAAAAAATTTACAAGAACAGCACAGCATAAATCTGAATAAAATTCATCTCCTTGTTGTTGTTTTTCCTTTATTTTGCTAGGAATTCACAGGGCCTGATGGAGCACCTGGGTACGACCGCGTGGTCAGGCTGGCCATGTACCTGGTGGGGCTGCGTGACGAACCCTGTTTCTCCAGAAGGCATGTTGCTGACATCGTCGCTCTCTGGAACTCCCTGCCAGAGGCTGACAAGCGACGTGTCTCTTACTTGCCGAGACACAGGGAGCGGCTCCTCGAGGGACGGTTCAAGGCCAGCCACTCGAAGACCACCGTCAGCAGTGGGACGGAGAGCTTGAAGCGGTAAGGGCACCATACATGCTGATGAGGATTTTTACAGAGAATTCCCTTTAATAATAATAATAATAATAATAGTAATAGTAATTTATTTATTTAATAGTTTATGTAATGCTTTTCATGCTGGTGTGAATGTGAATTATAACTCATCTTAAGTTGTTTGGCTTTTTGTGTTTTTTCCTGAACAGCTGTTTGCTGGGCCAAGGCACAGGGCCTGCACAGTGGCCCCACGCAAGCCGCCTCGTGGAGGCCATTTGCCTGCAGCTGTGCGATATGCACCCTCGTGGCCAAAAGATCGCCGGCTTCAGGTTAAACCGCTGGGGTGTCGTCCTGCGGGACTACGGCAGGATCAGGAGGCTGGTCCTGAACAGTCCTGGGCTCATGCAGGCGACAGCGCTTCAGCTCTTCGAGATCAATCAGCGCACACTATCTGTGTGGTAAGGGTCTTGATCTAACACTGTTGATGCTGTGCATTAGACAGTTCTTTTATGTGAATTCTAAATTTGTTGTATTTATTTATTTTCTTTTTTGTTTTTTTTGTGTTGATAGGTATAATAATTTGCAGAAGAAGCAGGAACTGGCTGTGCTGTCCATGAAAATTCCAGTCCCCAACCCAAGCATGACAGCAGCCGTCCCGTTGACGGAGCCCAGGCAGAATGTTCCGGAGCCTGAGCACCCGAGGTCTTTTGTGTTCGCCTGTCCTCCGGACCTGTCTGGGCAAGCTGTGCGGCGAGGACAGCATCCAGTTCTTGAATATTTACAATATCTGGCGCCAGCACCGCAGCCCGCACCTCTGCCCCATCCTACGCCAGCACCGCAGCCCGCACCTCTGCCCCATCCTACGCCAGCACCGCAGCCCGCACCTCTGCCCCATCCTACGCCAGCACCGCAGCCCGCACCTGTGCCCTACCCCGCGCCAGCACTGCAGCCCGCACCTCTGCCCTACCCCGCGCCAGCACTGCAGCCCACACCTCTGCCCCATCCTACGCCAGCACTGCAGCCCACACCTCTGCCCCATCCTACGCCAGCACCGCAGCCCGCACCTCTGCCCTACCCTGCGCCAGCACTGCAGCCCACACCTCTGCCCTACCCCGCGCCAGCACCGCAGCCCACACCACCTCTACCACTCCACCCTACACCTCTGCCCCAGCAGACTGTGCCACCTCCACCATTTCCGCCCATCCAACTGACACACCTTCAGCCAGTCCATGATCCTGAAGGGAAAGTGTGGAGCAGGACCACTCAGTGGAGGAGGAGAAAGGCAGCCGAGGCCTTGGCGAGGCAGCAGGGTCTCCATATACAACCTCGCGTCACCCACACGCACTACATTTGTTCCCAGTGTGGGCAGCCAAGGACAAGGCAGTTTGGGCATAGCAGGATGGGAAACAGATTTTTCTGCTCTACAGCAGAGGGGAAGTCTGTGGAGGAGTGGCGGGCTGAACAGGGACATTAAGATTATGATTATTATGTTTTTGATTATTGATATCTGCTTATAAATACACATTGAAGATCCTATTATTATTATTATTACTATTATTATTATTATTATTATTATTATTGCAATCTATCAAGTTACTTTTATTATTTGCTTGTGTGGTAAGTACTTTTAAAATGTAAGCACTATTATATTTACTATTATTACCTATCAAGCTACTAATGTTATTACTTGCACTTATATAAATGCTAGTAATTTAAATGTAAGCACTTCACTATATTATCAATACTGTTATTGTTATACACATGCACTAAAACTATTAGCATTATTGTCTACTAATATAATAAGCACAATTGATTCAATTACTTATACATGTGTAAATAAACATGCAACTATACATTGATTGTGCATTTATAAATGTGAACCGTAGAGCTCAAACATAATACAAATATAAGGTCATTTATTCTATATGTGCAGTTATGATATGATCATTGAAGTGTCTTATTGAATGCAAATTTGAACCAATCAATCAACAGCATATAATGTATATTGTTTTTATTGCTATTATATTAAGCAGTGTAGTTGAAGTCTTCATTAATGCATTCTAAATTCCCATTATATTAATTTGTGCTGTGCTCTTATCTAACTGCACAAATCTCATGTATATAGCACTTCTCTTGTTTCACAGAGGAACATTTTTTTTGTCCCATTCACTTTATACTTGTGTAATAAGCAGTTCTAACAAATTATTAGTATTATTTAAACATGTTGTACAAATGCCAAAAATCTGTTAATAAAAAAGGTGGTTGGTTTACCCAAATAATGTGTTGTACTCAATCTTTTATTCACATTGTGTTTGTGCGGAATGCTTTAAAGAACACAAAGATTTTGATGTATATGAAAAATATTTATTAGAAACAAAAGAAATATAGTAAAGATAAAATGTGTAAATCAAATACAAACAGATATATTTACAAGCTATGAGGTTGCACATTAACTATTTATGGACTTTGTGTTCAGGAGGGCTGGGCAGATTTTCTTCTGTCTGGTCTTATTTCCTCCCACTCCGACTTTGCACAGGTCTGCCCTCCCGATCTGCGGTGCGTTGCTCGGCGAGCCACAGTTCTACCGACTTCCCTTCATAGGCTGAGCAGAATGGGACGCCTTTGTAGCGACTGTGCCCGTATGCCTTTTGCCGTGGCTGGCCACACAGCTGGCATATTTGGTAGCCGGGCCTCTTTCTTTCTTTTAAGCTAATTCCCAGCTCCTCAGCCTCCTGTTCCTTTTGCCTTCTCCTCTTCATGTTCCAGGCTGTGCTTTTTGGGATGCGTCTTCCCTTATTCTCTCCGGCCTTCCTCCTCTGCTCTGTCAGCCAGTCATGGGCGCTCTGGCCAGAGGTGTTAGAGCAGAAACTTGTGCCCTTATAGGTGGCATGGCCAAACTCCAGCCTCTTTGGCTGTCCACACAGGTTGCAGGGGAGTCCAGCTGGGGCCTGCTGGTGATGGACCGTTCCAGCTTCCTCCAGGATCCTGTTGTCTTCCTCCACAGTCTTTTTTCTCCTGTACACTGTACATCTGGTCACAGGAACTGAGGTAAACCAAAGCACAGCATAAAATTTAATCTCACAAAAGATCTCATAAGCGATAACAACATGCAAAGGGGAACAAAGTGACAGTAATTCAAAAAAAGGCTCTGCTAAAATGCATTACCTGGTTTAGATCCCTTCCTCCTCCTTTTCTTGGCCTGAGCAGACTGGGCCTTCTCAAGCTCTCTCCTGAACCTCTTTCTCCTCTCTCTCTCAGTCACTGAGATGACTGGTGGCCAGTGTGGAGAGCAAAACTTGTTGTGTCTCTTCTTCTCCCTGTCCAGTCTCTCGACTTCTGCCTTCATTGCTTCCATAAAACCGCCAGGTCTACAGCGAACCTGCTTCAGCCAGCAAATGTAACTGTAGTAAAAGAAAAGCACAAAAACAAACAAAAACGTGAGAAATGATCACCTCTAGGAAGCAATCACTGAAATGACTAAAAACACAAAAAAAAAAATACTGTACGCTCGAAAAAGAGATATAGGAATATAAATGGCATAGTAATAACGGATCATTTCAGACAAAATGAGTTAAAAACAGGCAAATGAATGAAAACATACTTTCTGGCCTTCAAAGTGCTTAAGGCATGGAGCCTCTGGAGCTTTTCCTTCACATTACCCGGTAGCTGTTTCATGCTGAAACGAAAAAAAAAGAAAAAATAAATAAACGAATGAATGAAAAAACAAACAAAAAAAAAACAGGGAAAAAACAGAAAAGCGAACGAACAAAGAAGCACATCACGCACCTTGAAGCGAGAGCGATTCCTTCACCGTCTTTCTCAGCTGGGCGCTCTGTCTTCTCAGAGCTCCGCGCCTCGGTTCAAGTTTGCCGGCAAACCCCGAAGCCACGCCTTCTCTCGATCCCATTGGCTCAGCTGCCGGCGAGGACCGCCCCCTTAAGAGGGCAACGGCGCAGCGCAGAGCCTGTGGGGCCCACCACCGCTGAGCCCGGAGCGGCCCGCAGCGTTTTTTCCGCCTTAAGGCAAAATAAACTTATCCCATCTGGGCGCCGTGCGCCCGGACCTCTTCGGCCCGGTGCGTTCGCGGGGGGCCCGCGGGGGGCCCACAGAGAACATCAGGGCCCATCCTTTGCGCAGGGGCCATGCTAATCTTCTCTGTATCGATCCAATTTTAGTATATGTGCTGCCGTAGCTAGCACGCTACGCCTAGCGTGCCGCGCTCACTTATACCTGCCGTGTCCGCACAAGGTTTCTGAGAGAGGGCAGGTTTCGGAGTCGCGTCGGCTTCCGAGCGGCTTATTTCAGGGCCACAAAATTGCCAGCGCCCCCTGGCGTGCCCTTTGGTCCCAAGGAACACTGTGTGTGGCGCTTTGGAGCAGGCACAAAAGAAAGCATGGGTGAAACACCCAAGGGCAAATGCGGAGCTGCAGGCTGCTCACTCAGAGGGTGAAAACAGACCCCGTTTGGCTGGGAGAAGATGTGTGGGAGGCCAGTGTGTCATGACTTTTTGGTCCACGGGCACACACGGTGCTAAAGAGTAGGCTGCGGAAGCTTCCGTGGAATTGCAAAGAAGATGGCACGCCGCTGGCAAGTCCGCAGCACAGAGGCTTCGTTCTTAGTTCTGTTCTTGAACGCAAGCTTGTCAGGGGAGAGCGCGAACGCAGTCCCCCACTACCAGAAATTATGCAGTCGAGATTCCCGCATTTAGGGAATTCGCGAGATTCCCGCATTTGGGGAATTCGCAAGGGTCAGCACAACTGAAGTTGTTTCACACGAAGTTGTTTCACACCCAAATTTCTCAATTAATTTGTCTCATGTGCACATCCTGTTCACGCACATCTCCAAGCATCAGACTCTGCCGGAGTTTAGTAAATATCAGTCATTCACGCTGTCAGTAGTAGTGAATTAGTCACAGATTTCTAAGCTCAATTGAAGTAAAAGGCTATGAGATCGTGCTACTGTGTGATGCAATTGACCCACAAAAGTGCACCACAGGCAGGGTTCATGCACACACAGGCCCGGCTAGCAGGCTAAAGACTATCATTACCCCAAGTGACCGGCTTTTTCTTCCATATGGATGTGTATGTATATACACACACACACACACACACACACACACACACACGTGTGAAGGTATGACTACCTTAACAAAAACATCTTGCTTGTTGAACAATTACCAGAAAGTAACCAACTCCACACCAACTCTCGTAGGCCCTGTCTATTCACTGTATTAATTTCCATGAAAAAAAAAATTAAAAACCTTCTATATGTTTTATTCATAATAATTTGCCCCAGGCGTTCTCATCATAATCCTGAACGCTCAGAACTGTATTGCTCCTTTTTATTCAATATTTTATACCATAAGGAAGACTGAGCTTGATTAGTGCTTAGGGACTGATTGGGATTGATTAGGGATTGCTGACACACAAACTTGTGACTTAGTAAATGTTCTTGTGTATATCTTCGTATTCTGAGCAGTAAGGTTCAGGAACACTCTCTGCCACTCTCTTGTTCTGAAAGTGTACCAGAATCTGCTAATTTCACATTTCAATTGTACAACTCAGAAGCCAGATGCTAAGGTTTTTAGGTTGCTAAAAAACACAAACCACGAAACATGGCTGTGATGTTAGTGATACCGTCTTAAATGTACACAACTGGATTAAAAATCATCTTCATGATCTTTTGAGTTGTGGTTTTGTATTATGAGGTTTGGAAATTCTACTTACTAAAAAAAACAAACAGACCACTGAGAGGAAAACAGTCACCATGCTGAGCACAAACCACCAAAAGAGCGCACGAAACAGAAGCTGCATTTCCAGTAAATTTCCAGAAAATGAGCTTCAAATTTCCCTGGAGTTTAAATCCAAAAAGTCTCTAAATTGTTGGCGTCATAATAACCATAATTCATGACAGAACCCATGACTAACTGTTTTATCTTTTAATACATTTTTATACTATTTACTAAAGAAACAGACCACTGAACCACTGCACAACCCACCCAATAACACTCCTCATTTAAAACAGAGGAGGGTGCAGCTTTTCAGTTTATAGCCTGTACTTTAGGACATGTGAGAGCAAGAGTTGTAAATGCAATATAAAGTAAATCTGATAAATCTGACATTGTGTAGATTAACAAACTTTTTTTCCAAGGGAACAAATCATTATAGGTAAAATGTTTTATAAAAAAGGTTTTAAAGGAATCACACCACAGTAAAACATACACACTATCAACACATTTACATACACTTATCAGGCATAACATTATGACCACCTCCTTGTTTCTACGCTCATTGTCCATTTTATCAGCTCCACTTACTATATAGATGCACTTTGTAGTTCTACAATTACAGACTGTAGTCCATCTGTTTCTCTGCATACTTTGTTAGCCCCCTTTTACCCTGTTCTTCAGTGTGTCAGGACCCCCATGGACCCTCACAGAGCAGGTACTATTTGGGTGGTGGATCATTCTCAGCACTGCACTAACACTGACTAGGTGGTGGTGTGTTAGTGTGTGTTGCACTGGTCTGAGTGGATCAGACACAGCAGTGCTGCTGGAGTTTTTAAACACCTCAGTGTCACTGCTGGACTGAGAATAGTCCACCAACCAAAAATATCCAGCCAACAGCATCCTGTGGGCAGCGTCCTGTGACCACTGATGAAGGACTAGAGGATAACCAACACAAACTGTGCAGCAGCAGATGAGCTATCGTCTCTGACTTTACATCTACAAGGTGGACTGACAAGGTAGGAGTGTCTAATAGAGCGGACAGTGAGTGGACACAGTGTTTAAAAACTCCAGCAGCACTGCTGTGTCTGATCCACTCAGACCAGCACAACACACACTAACACACCACCACCACGTCAGTGTTACTGCACCCAAATGGTACCTGCTCTGTGAGGGTCCATGGGGGTCCTGACCACTGAAGAACAGGGTAAAAGGGGGCTAAAAAAGTATGCAGAGAAACAGATGGACTACAGTCTGTAATTGTAGAACTACAAAGTGCACCTATAGAGTAAGTGGAGCTGATAAAATGGACAATGAGCATAGAAACAAAGGAGGTGGTCAAAATGTTATGCCTGATCGGTGTATTTAATCATAGTCAAGTTTGATGTCAAATTCAACTGAAGATACTAAACTATATTTCAGGGAGAAAAGCCATATTACATAAAAAAATAAAAATATATTTAAGATAACTACATAGAAAAATGTTTCAGATTGGCTCTATTCCACATCCCCCCTGAGTCAATCTTACACTGACCACAAAGTAATAAATTATAACTGCCATGTAGTCCACTGTATAATCTGTTTTATGAAATGATTATGTATTGTATAAAATCACAACTCTAAACTGTGTAATCTATGCAGGAATCAAAAGGGGTGCTTTTTGTGCTTTGTATCACACACACCTGATTCAACCTTTCATTTACTTAACAAATGCCTCGCTCGCTGGGTCAGGTGTGTAGAGCAGAGAAACTACAACAATGTGCACAGCAAAGGGTTGACAGGACTGGGACTTGGAACCCCTGTAAGAACAGTGGGGGGATACAAGGGGGGAACTGATCAATATAAACGTGTCTGAAATGTGGGGTCTGCAATGTGTGCTTATATCTCACTGAAAGTGTTGTTACTTGCTCTCTGTAATCTGTTCCTACATCTCCATCACAAAAATCCTAAGTTCTCCACAAAAAACAATCAGGATGTTCACAAATCGGTAACTGCTCTACTCAAACTGGTGTTTAGTCAGTAGAGGGTTCTGTGTGTGTTTTTGTTTTACTTGTATAAGAATATATTTTACACAGTGCTTAAACTTGGAAACTTAATATTCATGGAGTCCCACATAAAATATACAATGTCAATAACCTCTCTGTTTTTGAAGTCACACAATGAACCTTTCTGAATTTATCAGTACTGTTAATACAGATGAGGAAAGTGCCAGTACACTTGCCTGACTGTCAAAGACTGCAATGCTACAGGACCTAAAAATGTAACAGATTAAAAGAAAATGCAATTAAAAACAAAGATTTAAGGCCATGCATCTTATAAAATGTCAACTACAAAATTTAAAATATATATAAGAACGTGAATATAAATACTTTATTTAAATTGTTAAAATGTACATTTTAAGAGCAACAGATGTGGATCTACTTTATCTTGTTACGGGAAGGCGGGGAGGCGGACCCAAGTGCAGAAATGGAAACAGAGAGAAAAATGGATAAATGCGTTCATTGGAGCATGAGTTTGAAACATGCGGTGACCCAAAGCCAGATTCGAACCGGCGATGTACTAATCGGCGCTCCGTGGCGTTACCACTAAGGAGCATAGGTGAATGCTGGCAAAACACCTCAAGGAAGGGGGGAAAAGAAAAGGCGGGAAAACGACGAACGGTAGACAAAAGAGACGCTGAGAGCAGCGTGCTCAAACAAAGGCTGAACTAGGAAGGCGAAACGACAGACAACAGGAAAACAAAAAACACTTCCACTCCAAGAACGAAGGGAAGGCAGACTTTGTTTCAGTTGTTTGCTCCTGGTGGAGCAAACACCTCTTCTATTATCGCTGAGCCGACTGTAGCTCAAGAACTTTTTTTTTCCTTTAAGTAGCTTTGGGGCAATTTCTTTTCTCAGCCCTCTTTTCTTTTTAGTTTTGGGGCAGTTTGGTTTGGTTTGGTTTGTTTTCTTTTCTTTTCTTTTCTTTTCTTTTCTTTCACTAAGTACCATGTCGGTCACCCCTCTACAAAGGTGTGACAAACACCACTGTTTGCCTTGACCTTAAGTAGAGGAGTCCGCAGGTGTGTCGCGTTGGGCCTAATCAGCCCGCGGACTTCTGGGAATTGGAGTTCCCTGAAGTTATGGCCCTGTGCCGCCGTCGCCCTCTGCTGGCAGCAAGCGGCCCAGGCTGGACACCCTGCCGCCGTTGCCCTCTGCTGAACCCTTACATATCTACTATATAAATCTTACAAAGCCAAAAAAATTAACTATGACTTTATTTTG